GTTTATAAGAAAGTGACAAATCCTTTTCTGAACTGGGTATCATACCTTTGTTTTTATTCCTGTCGGGAGGATCTTTTCTCTTGCTAGCAACAGCAGGACTGTTATGGAAAGATCATTGACTCACTAATTCAATGAGGAACTCAAATCATGGAATATTTGTAGAAAAGTTTTCTCTCTCTCTCTCTTTTCTTTCTTTTTCTTTTTTTTTTTGGACAGGTTTTTGCTATAGGGTACATGCGCTCGCCAGAAAGACAGAAAGAGACAGAGAGACTGAAAGCAAGAAATCACCCCCCAGGGGGATGGCCATGCCGAAATCCCTTCTCCTCCATTCTCCTCTCAGGATCCTGGGCACGCACGCACACGTGCCCGGCATGAGTTTAAGTCACCAGATCCGACACTCGAACCGCAGTTGGCTACATGAAAATCCAGCTCCATAGCCATTATGCCAACTGCTGGTCCCCCATTTTAAACATTTTTTAAGGGGGACCTTTTTCTATAGGGTGCATGTGCTCACCAATGAGACAGAAAGAGACAGAGAGACTGAAAGCAAGAAATCACCCCCCAGGGGGATGGCCATGCCGAAATCCCTTCTCCTCCATTCTCCTTTCAAGATTCTGGGCACGCATGTACCCGTGCCTGGTGTGAGTTTTAAACCCCCAGATCTAGGACTCAAACCATGGCCGACCACATGAGCATCCAGCAATGTAACCATTATGCCATCTGCTGGTCCCAAAAAGCTTTGCTGTTTTACTATGGACTGAAACTCAAAGGATTGAGATAGGAGTGCACACTCCTCTATAGTGAACCGTTGTCTTGGTTTGCCTGAGATTCCCCTGGTTTCAGTACTAAAAAGTCCTATTCCTGGGAAACCCCCTGGTCCTGGACCCAAAGTGGGACAGGTAGTGTTATGGTTTGGAAATGGTTTGTCTTCCAAGGGTTCATATGCTGGAACCTTGGGACCCAGTGTAATGGTGTTGAGGTGGGTGGGGCCTTTAGGGGGTTAGGCCTAGCAGACAATGTCTGAACTGGGGAGCAGAGGTGCCATCCTCATGGATAGGTCAAGGCCATCTCCTGGGAGGGAGGGAGTTCTCCCTCTTCTGGGAATGGACTCGTTTCCTTGAGAGCCCGCTGTTAGAAAAAGAGACCCACAGGTCTCTCCTTGCATGCATCCATGTTGTGATGCAGCAGACGCTGGCCAGTTGCTGGCCTCATACCCTTGAACTTTTCAGTTACCAGAATTGAGCCAGAGAAGTCTTTATCCTTAAGAGATCGCCCAGTCTCAGGTAGTTTTGTTTAGCAACACAGTAATGAGCTGAAACAGGTGTCACACATGGCACTGGGCACCGTTCATCTATCACATTTTCACCACAGCCAAAGTCAAAGCTAGCTTGCTTGTACCCACCTTACTTGTAAGGCAATAGAGAGATTAAAGCGTCTGCTCAAGGGGCCAGCAGATGGCATGATAGTTGGGATTCTGGACTCCCACATGGCTGACGGCAGTTCAAGCCCCAGACCTAGTACATTGGGTTCGCACTTTCCCTCTTACTCTCTCTTTCTCTCTCTCTCTCTCTCTCATGAGTACACGTCTCTTGTGGCAAATTAAAAATAATACTGAAAAATAAAATGATTTTTAGAAAATTGCCTGCTTAAGCCCAGATAGGTGGAACCAAACTTTGGCACCAAATCAACCATACTCTGAAGCACTGGAGTCTTTGATGAGGCAGACACCCTTTCTAGGTGCCCAGCTTCGGGTCTCAGGGAAGGTGGATTAAGGGGCCCAATACTTAGACTTGGGGCCCAGCAGGCCTGGGTAGGGATTTGCTGCCCCCTTGTGGCTGACAGGACAGCACCTAAGTCTGAGTTCCCCCCAGGGGCATCTACTGGTGATGAAGAGGAGCCCTTTCATCCAGGAAGGAGGACCTCAAATCTAGCCTCAGCCCTAGGATGCCACATGAGCATTTCCCACCAGTCTACTAGGGGACTTGTCCCATCCGTGTGACGCAGACCCAGGGCCAGACCACTAGGTTCAAGTCTGTGCGACCCTGAGCCACTCTCCTGCTGGGTCCCGGTTCCTCTTCTGTAAAATCAGGATGACAGCTCTTTCCCACTATCCGAGATGGCAGATGAAAAGCTGTGAGGCAGGGTACTAAGGAGAAAAAACCTGAAGCCAAGAAAGCTGGTGTCAGCGGGAAGGTTGAAAAGGCTGACCCCAAGGCTAAGAAGCCCAAGAAGGGGAAGCCCCACTGCAGCCGAAACCTGGTCCTACTCTGGGGCGTCGGCAGATGCTCCCGGTCCGCCATGTGTTCCAGGAAGGCCATGTACAAGAGATACTCGGCCACTAAATCCAGGATCGAAAAGAAAAGGAAGAAGGTTCTCGCCACTGTCACAAAACCAGTTGGTAGAGACAAGAATGGTGGTGCCTGGGTGGTTAAACTGCACAAAATGCCTAGGTATTATCCTACTGAAGATGCGCCTCGAAACTGTTGAGCCACAGCAAAAAAGCCTTCAGTCAGCATGTGAGAGAGCTGCGAGCCAGCATCACTCACGGCACCATTCTCGTCCTCACTGGACGCCGCAGAGGCGAGAGAGTGGTTTTCCTGAAGCAGCAGAGCAGTGTCTTGCTACCTGTAACTGGATCGCTGCTTCTCAATCGAGGTCCACTGCAGAGAACACACGAGAAGTTTGTCATCACCACCTCCACGAAAACTGATATTAGCAATGTAAAGATCCCAAAGCACCTTACAAATGCTTACTTCAAGAAAAAGAAACTGCGGAAGCCCAGACACCAAGGATGGTGAGATCTTTTACAAAGAGAAGGAGAAATATGAGATTTCAGAGCAGTGCAAGGTTGATCAGAAACCTGTGGGACGTGCAAATTTTACCCAAAATCAAAGCTGTTCCTCAGCTCCAGGGCTACCTGCGACCCGTGTTTGCCCTTACAAATGGAGTTTATCCTCACAATTTGGCGTTCTCAATCTTTTGCCAAGAACCTAATTAAATAACTGATCATATATTTAAAAAATCAGGATGATAAATATGTCAATGACTTAGGACAGACTTAGACATTGATATTGTTTTCACCAGCTCCTTGACACCCACATGTCTTGATTCTCCCCTACTTTCATACATTCATTCACTTAATTTCCATCTGGTAGCTATCTGCCAAGCACCAGGTCTGTGCCCATCCCTGAGCTGGGGGTGCCAGAGAGATTACTGCCAACCGGACAGACATGGCCCTGCCCTCTTTGCCCTGTAACTCTCTGCTGTCTCACATGTTCATTCATTCACTGAGTATCCATTTATTTACTGAGTGTTCCTCCATTCTTTTTCTGTGTCCTCACCATCTGTTTCCTCACAGACCTGGAGGAGGAATGGATCAAAATCCCAGCACCTAACCCTGATCTGGTGTAGAGTGGGTGCTTGCAGAGTGCTTAGGGAACAGGGGAGAGAAAAAGTAAATATGGAGCAAATAAATGTGTTGATGAGATGACCAAGAGAAAGATGAATGAGTAAAGAAAGAAGGAGGGACCAGCAGTTAGCGTAATGGCTATGTCGCTGAACTCCCATGTAGTTGACCACGGTTCGCGTCCCGGACCCAGTGGCTTAAAACTCACACTGGACATGTGTGCATGCATGCCCAAGATCCCGAGAGGAGAATGGAGGAGAAGGGATTGAGTTGTGGCCATGCCCCCTGGGGGGTTATTTCTCTCTTTCTATCTCTCTGTCTCTCTCTGTCTGGTGAGTGCACAAGCTCTATAGCAAAAAAAAAAAAAAATCTCTCCCCCAACAACAAAAATAATAATAATATTCTTGTTTTCACGAGGTTTTTGTTTTTAGTGTTTCTAATTGCCAGAGGCATGTGTACTCACCAGAGAGATACAACAGAGATCAAAAGAGGGAGAAAGCTCCTCCCACAATGGGGTGTGGTCATGCCACAATCCCTTCTCAATTACTTCAGTATTTTAGGCACACTTGCACATGTGCCCAGTGTGTTTTTGGGGCTGCAGAGTGTGGGATTTAAACTGTGGTCCACCATGTGAGATCCAACTCCCTTAACGTTCATACGAGTTTAATCATGATTGTAAAGCAATCATATCCTGTCCCATCATGGTCACAGAAGCCATCTGGGAGATTTTGTACTTCAATAGAACACCAGGGCCTAGCTCTCAACGCCTGGCCAGCTCCAAATGTGAGAAGGGCTATTCTCTCTCATAACAAAGGGTCTTTCGGTAGGCAGCGATATGACTTACACGGGGGAACAGGCAGGTTCAAAAGTATTCAAAGAAGACAAAATAATACGGCTCCAGATTCCAACAGATGGCAAAATGGTTATTTGCTGGGCTCCCACGTAGTACACCACAGTTCAAGTCCCAGATCTGCGGCTTAAAACTCAAGCCGCGTGTGCGTGCGTGCCCAAGATCCCGAGAGGAGAATGGAGAAGGGATTGCGGTGTGGCCACCCCTCCCTAAGTGATTTCTCGCTTTCTGTCTCTGTTTCTCTCTGTCTCCCCAGCGAGCGCACGTTGTCCTATGGCAAAAAATCTCTTAAAAAATAAGTAGATAATAAAAGATTTGGCCCCACCATTCACGGAGTTTAGTGACACGTTTGCGCACTCTTTTGTATCAAAAAGAGATCGTCAGAAATGAAAGTGGGACAAGAACCGGATCCAAGGTAGGGTCATCACGAAGCCTGAAGCGAGAAGAGCCGAGTGGGAAGAGATGCTGAGAGCCGTCCCTGGGATTACGCGGTGGCACCACCACGCCCACGGAGGAGAGGTCTGCTGCGTCGGGCCACTCGGGCATGGAGGGACGCTCCTCCTCCTGGGACGTGGGCGTTGGCTGCAGTGATTAGTTCAGAAACAGGAAACGAAATCAAGTAGCTTTGATCAAAATAACCCACCTCGACCTTGAGCTCATGAATATTCAGCAGGTGCTTCTGTCTCGCGGCTCCGCCTCCGTCCCCGCCCAGCTTAGAGACTGCGCATGCGTCGCTGGCGCGCGGCCCTTTCGTCATACGTGCGCGCTGCCGCCGTCGTTCGTTGGGGGAGTAGGACTGCCGTCATGGCGAACTCAGCGGCCGCCGCCGTGCGACCGCCGAGACCCAAGAAAGAGCCACAGACGCTCATCATCCCCAAGAACGCGGCGGAGGAACAGAAGCTCAAACTGGAGCGGCTCATGAAGAACCCGGTGAGATGAGGGGCGGGCTCCACTGCCGGTCGGACACTCACCCCTGGAGGGCCCTTGGCCCCACGTCCCCACTTCCCCACCTCCAAACTCCGAAATTCAGTACTTGACCCTTGCCCTGCTCCCTGGAGCGATCCTTGGTACGGCGTAGGTCGCCCCGAGACAGCGAGCTTCCCGTCCGTCTTTGGGTGAGAGCCCAGGCTGGGTGAGGCGCTTGGAGCGGCTTTCTATGCTCTCGGGCCCTTTGTGGGTTAACTTCTGTGAACAAAAGCGGCAGACTTGGAAGGGAGAATCTGGGTTATTTCTTGTAAACAGCACCGATTGTTAGACATCGGCCGAGACATTTGGAGCAGGTCACACTTTGCTTACCCATCTCCAATCCAGGCTTCTGTCCCCTCAGTAATGAAAACGATTGGATGAGAAGGGCTTTCATTCGTTTGGCTAGAAAGGGTTGACTCTCCTCCTCTAGCGGTGGTTTCAAGCCCCGGGGGGGTGCAGGTGCGCACTCGCCTGGGATCCTGGCTGGCTAGCAGGCTAGTGTGTGGGGGGGGTCCCTGCAGGACGAGACCCTGTAGTGGGTGCTTCTCACACACGGGTGAGCTGTGGCTCTCCCTCGTAAAGGAAAGTAGGTGGAGGTGTTCTAGTCGTAAACGGTGATTTACATTTCTTGGTTCTGCTGTGGAAAGTGTCGGTGGTGAAGGCTGTGGACTGTTATATATACCCCAGAGTATAATACAGGATAAAGTACAGTCAAAAGAGAGGAAAGAACATAAAGTCAGTTCTGACTTCAAGGAACAAAGCGATCCCACTAAACTAGTCCAGTTAAAACTCTTTGGTTCTAAGAGATATAACTGTTTATACCACTTACAAACAAGTTTATACCACTTACAAACATTGATACAAATGCTTTTGTGTTTAAATGTTTCAGGACAAAGCAGTTCCGATTCCAGAGAAAATGAGTGAATGGGCACCTCGACCTCCCCCGGAATTTGTCCGAGATGTAATGGGTAATATGTGTGTGTGTGTGTGTGTGTGTGTGTGTAAAACTGTAATTTTTAAAAGTAGAGGGGCCAGCGGGTGGTGTGGTGGCACTGGACTCCTACATGACTGACCATGGTTCAAGTCCCAGACCTGGTGACTTGCTTGCTCACTTTTCTTCTCTCTCTCGCTCGCTCACTCGCTCGCACTTCTCTCTGATTAAATTGAATAATGACAATAAATAAATTAAATAATTCTTTAAAAAAATTTTTTTAAGGTAGATATAAAAACCCTATAGTTGGGACATGCTGTTGGCGTAATGGCTATGTTGCTGGACTTCCATGTAATCGACTACGGTTCGAGTCCTGGACCTGGTGGCTTAAACTCAGCCAGTCACTCGTGCGTGCGTGCCCAAGATCCTGAGAGGAGAAGAGAAGGGACTGTGGCGTGGCCATCCCCCTGGGGGGTGATTTCTCACTTTCTGTTTCTCTGTCTTTCTGCTGAGCACATGTGCTGTATAGCAAAAATCTCTCCAAAAACAAACCAACCAACCCTATAGGTAATACTTGTTTAATAGGAAAAAAAGGAAATGTTCACCAGTCTAGTATTTTTCTCTTATAATGAAGGAGTATAGTTGCTTATGGTTTGGCACTAGAGGATTTTCTTTTGTATTATTTGTGTGTGTGTGTTATTATTTTTAAAGAATTACTTTATTTAACTTCATTATTATTATTATTTAATATTTCCAGAGAGAGAGAGGGAAAGTGAGAAAGCAAACCTCCATGTCCAGGACTCAAACCACAGTTAGCCATGTGGGAGTCCAGCGCTCTTAACCACCATACCACCTACTGGCCCCTTCTGTATTATTCTTAATATATTGTATATTTTTGGTTAATGGGAATAGTTTTATAAATTTGTTGGGTTATAGATTTAAGATATACTAATTATAAATGAAAACAAATTTAAAAAGTATAAAAAGTTAGAACCATTTGGCCAGCTGGTGGCATAGTGGTTTAGGTGGCTGGATCCCACATAGCTGACTATACAGCTGGAGTCCCAGATGAGCAGCTTGAGAATAGAGGAGAGGGGATTGCAGCATGACCATCCTCCCTGGGATATGCTTTCTTTTTTCCTCTCTTTCTATCTCTCTGGTAAGTACATGTTCCCTGTAGCAAAATTTAAAAAAAGATAAAACCACCTATAATTCCATTATTCCACCTGTAACCTTCTGGTATAGCCTTTCGAACCTGTTTATTCTCAGATCATTTAAGAAAAAGTATTTTTACAAAAGTATAAATAAGCTATACCTACTGCTTTAACCTAGCTGTAATTAATACAAGGTCTTCAAAAAGTTCATGAAAAGTTCATATTGTAAAAGAACTCTGCAAATAAATTTGTACTTTAATTTTTTTCTTTATGCAAATAATTGTATATGACACATGCTGTTCTGTGCTTTTTCTTTTCACTTAAAATATTGTGTGTGTGTGTGTGTGTATATATATATATTTTTTTTTTTATTTTCTGTTGTTTTGCTTAGTTGTTCCTCTTATATATTTTTTTTTTTTTTAAATTTACTTCCATGAACAAAGGAGACAGACAGAGAAAGCATCCCCAACAGAATTTCAGTGTCAAAATCTACCTCCATACCTCAGCCAGCCCTGGACCATGGGCAGATGTGTTCCCAGAATACTCAGAGAGGTCTCCAGACTTGAACCAAGGACCTTCCCATGTGGAATTGCCTCACAGAATTTTGTATTTGACTGCTGTGCCACTGTCTAGCCCCTTTTAATTCCATTTTATCATTTTTACACAAATTTTTTAAGGTTCCTTTAAATGTCATAGACTTTTATTTCAATTCAGTAGGAATGTATCAATAGCATGTGAAATGTGAAATTATAGGAGAGGGAAGGTCACAGGCCTTCTTCTAGATTTCTGATCACTAAACTACAGTTTGTTCTTCTTCTTTTTTAATTTGCCAGAGTATGCATGCACTCACCAGAGAGACAGAGACAGGGAGAGAGAAAAAGCATCCCCCATGGGGTGTGACCACGCCGTAGTCCCTTCCACATTTCTCCGCCCTGTTAGGATTTTGACCTGCATGCACACATGCACACAATAATTTTCAAGTCTCTAGGACCAAGGTCTGAACCACACAGTCAGAATTCAGCTTCCTTAACCACAAGGCCAGCCCCATGCTCTTCCTAATACTACATCAGAGCAGAATTTTGGGTGATTTCACATTCAATATGTGTGCATTGAGTAATGTAATGATACCTACAACATGGTAAGCACTGTGCCTGGGGTACGATGGGAATGTGGCAGGCATGGTTCCTGCCATGATCTCCAGTTTCTTTAGTTCCTTGTGGTTAAGGGTGGCCTATGTCGGTAACTGGATTTCATCTGGACCTCTTGACTGTTCTGTCAATAGGTTCAAGTGCTGGGGCCGGCAGTGGAGAGTTCCATGTGTACAGGCATTTACGCCGAAGAGAGTACCAACGACAAGACTACATGGACGCCATGGCTGAGAAGGTCAGTGAGCAGCAAGGCTAGCAATGTGCACTTACAGCCTTTAGAGGAAAAGTTTTTGATGAAGAATAAAGTTGGCCGTGGCAAGACCAGCAGTTGGCATAATGGCTGTGTTGCTGGACTCCCATGTAGTTGACCGCGGTTTGAGTGCCAGACATGGTGGCTTAAATTCATGCCATGTGTGCGTGCCCAAGAGCTCAAGAAGAGAATGGAGAAGGGATTGCAGCGTGGCCCTCCCCCCTGGGGGTCATTTCTTGCTTTCTGTCTCTCTGTCTCTCTCTGTCTTTCTGGCAAGCGAATATGGCTATAGCAAAAAAAACTCTCAAAAAAAAAAAAAGTTGGCTGTGGCTTATGTGAGCTCTCCCTTCTACAGTCAGCATGGAAAGCAGGGTCCAGGTGACTCCCAGGTCAGGCTCTACACAGCAAGGTACTCACACCAAGGGTCTTCCTTGTGTATGCAGGGACATAGCAGAGGCCCCTCTTCTCTGCAGACCATTTGCCATGTAATGGTACAGCAAACAGCATCTCTGTACCATTTGAGTTGTTACTTCTTTGTTGTTCTTTTTGGCTGAATGCCTCAAGGTGGTTAGCTGTCTGTTTGGTGTGAATGGTAATGTACTTTTAACTGTGTCACCTTTGGGAATCTGGGTTTCCTAGCTTTAGGGCTGGCATTTCTTCATGAGATGTAAAAAAAATTATTATTTTAAGAGCTTGAGAATTGCTTGCTTAAGAAATTGTACTCTGGGACCAGCAGTTGGCGTAATGGCTGTGTCTCTGGACTCCCATGTAGTCGACTGCAGTTCAAATCCTGGACCTGGTGGCTTAACTCATGCTAGGCATGTGTGCGTGAGTGCCCAAGATCCCGAGAGGAGAATGGAGGAGAAGGGATCGCGTCATGGCCACCCCACCCGGGGATGATTTCTCACTTTCTGTCTCTCTGTCTCTCTCTGTCTTTCTGGCAAGTGCATGCGGCCTAAAAGAAAAATCTTTCCAAAAAAGAAAGAAAGAAATTGTACTCTAATAACTATTAAGCTTTCTACAACTTGGATAAAAGGACCAGAAGCATCTCTCCTAAATGCTGTTTCATAAAATCTTCTTGAGACATTATGCTCATTGTATTTTTCCAATTGAATTTGGGATTATTCAATTCCCATCAAAAACTTTGATTTTTTTACTAGAATTGAGTTGAATCTGTAACTTAACTTGAATGAAAATACATGTTATAAGATTTAGTTACCTCATCTAGAAAAGTATCTTTATTTGTATAAATATTCTTGCATCTTAGTGATGATTTGTAGAGATTTTGCATTTCTCTCAAGACCTCTATTCAAAAGTATTTTAAGATTTGGGATTGCAGGGACTGGCAGGTGGCGTGGTAGTTAAGGGTGAATCTGTAACTTAACTTGAATGAAAATACATGTTATAAGATTTAGTTACCTCATCTAGAAAAGTATCTTTATTTGTATAAATATTCTTGCATCTTAGTGATGATTTGTAGAGATTTTGCATTTCTCTCAAGACCTCTATTCAAAAGTATTTTAAGATTTGGGATTGCAGGGACTGGCAGGTGGCGTGGTAGTTAAGGGTGTGGGACTCCCACATGTCCAACTGCAGTTTGAGTCCTGGACCTGTGTCTTGCTTTCTTACTTTCTCTCTCTCTCTCTCTCTTTCTGTCCCTCACTGGTCAAATAAAGTTAACTAAAATAATTAAAAAAAATTTTTTTTTTTGGATTGCAGTCCTGGTTGTGACCCTTTATTTTATTATATATTTTTTTAATTTTGCTGGAGAGCACGTGCATTCACTGGAGAGACAGAGGAGAGAGGAAAAAGTGCCCCCAACGGGGAATGGTCATGCCACAGTTTCATCCCCATGTCTCCATTTTCTCGGTCATGTTGGTATCTTGGACATGTATACACATTTACCTAGCATATTTCTCAAGCTGCCAGAACTGAGACTCAAACCACAGGGTTGGCTATATGGGATCTGGCTGCCTTTAACCTTTTAAATTTTTTATCTGGCAATTAGTGAGGGAAAAATATATACAGACCTTGTTATAGTGCTCCTCTATTTGCCTGCTTTACTATTAATACAAGTAGGTTATTTGACTGATTTAATTTTCCAAATACATTTCTTTTTTTTTGTAAGAGAGGTTTTGCTATAGAGCATGTGCACTCGCCAGAGAGAAAGCAAGAAATCACTCTCCAAGGGAGATGGCCATGCTACAGTCTCTTCTTCATCCTCCTCTCAGGATTTTATTCAACCACACACGCCTTGTGTGAGTTTTAAGCCACCAGGTAAAGGACTCAAACCACAGTCGACTACTTGGGAGTCAAGCAACGTAATTATTATGTCATCTGCTGGTCCCTGAATACATCTCTTTTGTTTTTGGAGAGGTTTTTGCTGTAGGGTGCGCGCCCTCACTAGAAAGACAGAGAGAGACAGCGAGAAATCACCCCCAGTGGTGATGGCCATGCCACAATTCCTTCTCTTCATTCTCCTCTCGAGATCTTGGGCACACACGCACACGCACCTGGCGTGAGTTTAAGCCACCAGGTCTGGGACTCGAACCATGGTCGACTACATGGGAGTCCAACAACATAGCCATTACACTAACTGCTGGTCCCCAAATACATCTCTTAACGATACAGTAGAGAGGGGTCAGCAGGTGATGTGGTGGTTGGGGCACTGGACTCTCACTTGGTCGACTATGGTTTGAGTCTTATACCTGGCTGTTTGCTTTCTCACTTTTCCTCTTTCTCCCTGTTGATAACAGCACTTTAAAAAAAATAGTAATAAAATAAAAATAAATAGTTCGTTAAAAAAAATATGAGGGATTGCTCCTTGGTATTAATTTTAGAACATGCAAAAAAAATGTTCTTTTTCCTTATTAGATAGAACACATTTATGCATTTTGGAAAAATTCATGTTAGGTTTTTTTTTTTTTTCAATGCCAGAAAGCACATGCACAAGAGAAATAATGCACGATCGCACTGCCCAATAGGGCCTCGTCACACCACAGTCCTTTTTCCTCAGTTCCCCATCCCATCAGGATCCTGGGTGTGTACAGGCCACTGGGGCTGCTGTTCAAACCCTGGGTGGCCATGTAGGATCCAGCTTCCTCTGTACTTTAAAATGATGGTTTTTTGGTTTATTTTTTATGAGTGAGGAAGCCACTTTATCCAGTAGCATTTGGCTTTCTAATAATATGGTAATAAATTTTTTAAAAGACTCAAGAATTTTTTCCTATATAAAGAAAAATACTTTAAAAATGAAAGCAATAAAATAGAATGCTTCTTAGCAATAAAAAAGAACAAACTACTGATTTATGGAGTACCTTAGATGGTTCTTTAAAACATCCTGTGTAAGAGGACCAGCAGATGGCGTAGTTGTTATGACAATGGACTCCCACATGGCTGACCACGGTTCTAGTCCCAGACCCTGTGGCCTGAAACTCGCGCAGGGTATACGTGTATGCATGCCCAAGATCCCAGGAGGAGAATGAAGGAAAAGGGATTGCAGTGTGGCCTTCCCCCCAGGGGGTGATTTCTCACTGTCTCTCTCTCTCTTTCTCTCCCCCTGTGGCAACACACATGCCCTAAGGGAAAAACCTACCAAAAAAAAGAAAGAAAGAAAATGGGACATTTGTCATATATAAGGCAGTTACTAAAAATAATTAAATATAGTCTGGAGAATGAAAATTAAATTTCTTATAATAAAATATCCTGAGTAAAAGGGGTCTTGCACAAAAGAGACCATATTGTATGATTCTATTTATGCCAAGTTACAGAACAAGTAAAACTATCTGTAAGGAAAAAAAAATCAGAATAGTGGTTGTCTCGGGAATAGGATCAGGTTTGACTGAGAAGAGGTACGAAGGAACAATCCAGAATGATCAGACTGTGCACTTGATGTTATGTAAGTATCACTGTAAAGGGAAAAAAAAATCTGCAAAAAAATATTAAATCCTACTTAGTGATATGCATGCTTAAATGTTTAGGAGTGGAATGTCTGTAACTTTGAAATGCATCAAAAATATAAGGTTTGATGAGGCCAGCAGGTGGCATAGTGGTTATGCCCCCCCATAACTGATCAGTTTCTGAGTCTTGGACCTAGTGGCACAGTCCCTTCTCTGTTGTCTTGAGATTTGGGGCACACATGCACATGCTCCTGGCCTGAGTTTTAAGCCACAAGTCCAGAACTCAAATCATGGTGAGAGTCCAGCGATATAACCATTTCACCATCTGCTGGTCCCAGTCTGAAGTGGTTTTTTTTATTGTTTTATTTCACTTTATTTACTTACCTTTTTTTTTTTTTTACTTGCCCGGAAAGGGACAGAAAGCGCATGTGCGTGTGTGCGTGTGTGTATGTGTGTGTGTGAGAGAGAGAGAGACAGACAGACAGAAGGCCAGCAGGTCCGAGACTTGAACCTTGGTCAGCCATGTGGGAGTCCAGCACCTTTAACCACCATGCCACCTGCTGGCCCCTCCAGTCTGAAGCTTTTATATGTGAATAAAGAACCAGAGAAAATACAGAAAAATGTTTTGGAAATTTTGGCATTTATTAAAATGTAAAGACTTATTTTAGGTGGCGAGAGGCTCTAGGATGTTAAATCTTTTTTAAAAAATAGACAAGAGAATCCCAGTTCTTTCCCAGTGACTGATAGGATCTGGCACTGATAGGGTGACTTCTGACTGACTTTGTTGGAGATCTTGCCTTAGCCAGATGTGGCAGCCAGCTGGGGGTTTCTGTTTATTCACTTGCTGGTAAATTCAGCTTCATGCCACAAAGTAAGATGTTTATGGCTCAGCTTATAAACAAACCAGCAGCTCTATTTTTTTTTTTTTTTTTTTTTGGAGGGGTTTTCGCTATAGGGCGCATGTACTCGCCAGACAGACAGAGAGAGACATAGAGACAGAAAGCGAGAAATCACCCCCCAGGGGGGATGGTCACGCCGCAATCCCTTCTCCTCCATTCTCCTCTCGGGATCTTGGGCACGCACACACACGCGCCCGGCGTGAGTTTTAAGTCACCGGGTCTGGGACATGAACCGTGGTCGACTACGTGGGAGTCCAGCGACATAGCCATTACGCTAACTGCTGGTTCCCGACAAACCTGCTGCTTTTAGAGTTAAGCCATGGGCTTCCTAGTTGTTCTCTAGTTGAAGCTGATTTCCATCTTGAAGGGGGTGCTGGTCTCAGGAGGAAGGCTCCTGTGTTTGGTTTCTGTGTCATTCAGGTGATCCATACAGCCCTGGCACTGTGGACCAGCTGTGGTGTTAATGGTGCCTCTTCCTCCTTTACTTCTCTTCCTCTTTTGGCCCGTTGACCTTTATGGCTATGATGGAAAAAATGAGAGGAGACACTTCATATGAGTAGAATTCCTTGTAATTTGAAGCTGCTTTTCTATAGGTTTTCTTATTTTATTGTTCTTCATAACAATAAAGAGGAAATTATATTAAGTTGTCGGGAAAGTCATGACGTATTTTTCTATGCAAAAATTAGTAATTACTTTCCCAACAACCTAGTAATTTCCTTCACATTATAGATGAGGAAACTGAGGCTTAGAAATAGAATTGCTGAAAAGAAATCATACAGTGTGTGTGTATGTGTGTGTGTGTGTGTGTGTGTGTGTGTGTGTGGTAGTGTGTGGTAGCAGCAG